GCGTTAATCCTCATTGCTGTTCCTCCGTCACAACTGGTACCTGCTCTGTCTTGGCACGGACAGAGGCAGGGGGGTGATTGGGGGGGGGGCACGGATTACAGTTATACCCTATGAAACAAGACAAATGAAGATATATAGAAGAGAACTTCACTGTAATATACAGGACACAGGAATGGATTATTGCCATTTTATCTCATTTTTGTTTTCTTACAGTAATTTACTCAATCTTTTCCATGGGGGGAAAATGAATTTTACAGATACTGTATTTTTTAAAGTTATAATTTCTTATTATGAGAACATAGTGTCCCCTTCCCTCCATATCTTCCATTGCCTGGGGAGCTCTCAGTCAGAATATGTGCATGGTGGCCAGGTAGTAGATGGAGGGAAGTGGATATTTTGTGGTCATGGAATTATTTGTCTGTTGGAGAAAAAAAAGGGAGAGGGGAGGCCGATATTTTACTTTTGCACAGAGTTCAGAAAAGAAATGTGTCCATCAGAGTGGAGAAATGTAGCAGAATGTGTGGCAATATAAATTTGTTTTGGTAATTTGATTGTATATGTAGTGGATTTTCCAATTGTAATGTTTTTGTCCTCTCTCCTCATATTGAAATGAAATATTTATCTACGTATCTAGGGTTGTGGAAGTTGACTGAACTGTCAAACTTATATAGAAAAATGGATAAAAGAGGATGAAAAGAGACAAGGTATAGAGGGAGGGGGGAGAGGGGAAGGGGAGAGAGATTGTATGCAAAGATTTTGTACTTAAGTTGCAGAATTCTCTGTAGCGTGCATCACATTTTAAAAATGTTTTTTAAAAATTTCCATAAACTAATCATCTATGACTGCACAGCTGTAGCACGTGGCTGAGGTTAACGTCTGATCTATGACATTGCTTTATTTCAAGTAGAGAAAATTTGATGATTCGCATATGACAACTTTTTATAAAGAGAGAAATGTGAGAGAGATTGTAATTTTGCTACAAACTTTTTTCAGTGCTGATGTGTTTCTGTGCACAGGTAAATATTATACAGATTTCTTAAAAAGGACATCAGTTATCTTTTTTTTTTCTTAGTTGTCAAATCCATTTTTTAACTTGGCTGTGAGAAAATGAGCTAATTAAGTTTACTTCTAAGAATACATTCATAATAACATTGCATCTTTCTGAGAAAGGTCGTCACAGAGCCTGAACCACAGCCGGAGAAGCCATTATGCAATATTTCACGTTACTAAGACAACATAAAAAATTCCTGTGTTACTTCTGCTTTCTGCTGGTTGTATAAGCACATATGTAAGATATAACCAACCTTGTTTGCAATGCTGTATGAGCCAAGGTGGAGATGTGTTGTGGAGTTCCGCCACCCTGCTGAGAGAAAATGCTTTCCAGAATTTCATCTGATATCGCCTGCAGAAAACAACAGCTAGACAGATTTTTATAGTTGTACAAGTTGATTTACTATGCTTCAGAATTTGATTGGAATGTTTCTTGTTTTCTTTGAAATGATTCTAGATGGGCTTTAGATGTGCTATGAATTAATAGAGAACTGCTTTCTTAGGTCTAACTTTCAAAATAATTTTTTTTTTGCTGCCTTAAAATTCTAGCACGTGCATTCGTGTCTGCATGTGTGTGCATACATGCATGTTTCGATGTCAATTTTTCACAATCAGTGCCTAGTAGATAACCAATTTTATTCAATAAAAATGATGCAAGAAAAGTTGTGTAAAGCATGTGCCCAGTTCCTGGGGGGGTTGGGGAGGGAGGGGGAGGGGGGTGCTGACTTGGGATAGAAAGGATGCAGAATGTATGTCAACTTCCTCTACATCAGCCCAAGTTAATTTTCTCTTTGAAAATGGGGGGAAAATGGACCCCTCAAGGTCTACCAAGACTTTAGCTGCAAATTGAGTTGTCTTAGCCTACGTAGTTAATAAATCTCTTCAACAAACAAGATGGAGGAGCATTCAGAGACCTTGCCACAAACAATGTCATCAACAGATATTCTCCTGCTATAATCAGTAGGCACATTACTAAAAGGCTGTGATATGAAATACAGCATAAATAACAAATACTGCTTTTGTGAGACTTAGTGATGCAATCTTTTACCATGAACTGTTATATAATGTAACTATGATATGATGTATATGCTGTCTGTAATACCATTTTTTCCTGACACCAGCTTTCGTCTAAATAATGATTGAAGATAGAGTTGTGTATCACATATGTCTTAGTAGTGAATATTGCATAACCCACATAGTCCTTAATACAGTGCTCAGTCTTGCTGGCGTCGTGGCCCAGCATTTCTTCCACATCTGGGTGAAGCGTGTTGTTGTTGTGGCGTGTTCACTAGGCCGCGGAACGACATAAAATTTCTTCCTTGACAGATTTGTGCAATAGCGCCACCCAAACAAGTGGAAACAAATAGTTGTCAAACCTTTCACTGGAATGAGCCGTAGAACATGCTGCAGATTTTATGACATTGACAGGTGTGAAATTGTGAATATGTGTGTGTGTGTGTGTGTGTGGTGAGGGGGGGGCCTAGAGTTGAAATTTGGGGGGGGGGGAAGTTAAAGGAACGGGCAGCCA